CGGGCCTAAGTTTTTCATCTGTGAAACAGAGGTAATGGTAACAACAGAAGTTGTTTCATTGTCACATAGCTAAATGGTCATATAGGTTAAGTGCTGGGTTCATGACTGGCACTCAATATATATGAGCTTATTATATTTATTCCATTAGGTTAGATTGTGTATTATATGATATACATTATCTGTATTATGTCATAGTAGATCACATTATCATATATTATCGTTATTGGAAGTTTCCACTGATGAGTCCCTAAACAAGAAGAGCTAGATTGGGTGTTAAAATAGCTAAAGGTTAGCAAAGCTCTTTTTCTGCTGCCTCGTGTTCAAGACAAATCTTCTCTTATGCTATTGGCTAGGAATTTTATAGTTTGCATTTTACATTTATGTCTGTGATCCATTTGGAGTTAATTTTTTAGAAGGGTATAAGGTCTGTGTCTATATATATATATTTTTGCGTATAAATGTTCAGTTGTTCCAGCACTTTTGTTGAAAAGGCTATCTTTCCCCATGATATTGCCTTTGCTCCTCTAAGATCTGTTGACTCAATTTTTTAAAGATTTTATTTCTTTATTTTTAGAGAGAAGGAAAAGGAGGGAGAAAGAGAGGAAGAAAAACATCAATGTATGGTTACCTCTTGCACACCCCCTACTGGGGATGTGGCCTGTAATCCAGGCATGTGCCCTGACTGAGAATCAAGCCAGCAGTACTTTGGTTCTTAGGCCCACGCTCAATCCACTGAGCTACACCAGCCAGGAAGAAGTTTGTATTTATTGAGCACTAGGGGCAAAGCCCTGAGCTCAGTACTCTACCTGTGTCTTGTCGCCAGTCCTCTGAGGCAAGTACATGTATTACCTTCCATTGGAAAAAGCAGAGGCACGGAGAGGTGAAGTAACTTGCCCAAGGTCGCACAGGGAGTGAGCGGAGAAGCTGGGCTTCAAGCCTGCTCTTAATCCCTACACTGCGCTCATCCTCCCTGACTCTCCCCTTTCACCCCGGGGTAGCAACACTGCCCGTTCTGGGCTTGACATTGAAGCTTCCTGAAGAGCAGCCCAGGTCAGCACATCATCCTCCGTTGAACAAAAAGTCCCACAGGCAACTAATCCCGATAAAGTCCCTCTACTCCAGTTCCTTGAAACCCTTTCTACAAAACCCACGTAGTTGAGAAGTGAAGCCTTAGGCATCCTCTCCTCCCCCACCCCTTCCCCTTTTACCTGCTTCCCTACAGTATCCAGTTGGTTACAAATCTCTTGCTGTTTATTTACCACTTAATAAGCTCTATGGCCTCTCAGAAAGCCATTTAACGCCGCCCCACTCAATTTCTCCTGGAGGCAGAATCTGCCAGATGGAGTCTTCATCCCGAGCCACATTGATTTGTCTTATTTTTTAAACATCAGTGAACATTCCATGAAACTAAAATAGCAGTCAGTTCCCAGGTGTGGACTCACTGAGCAGGGAGGTGATCCAGAGTGTGTGGACGTGTCCACTGGGCCAGCAGTTCCACACGGGCTGGATTAACAAGGGGATGACTTCCTCAGGTGGCTGGAGCCAGCAGCTGGCCGTGTCCGGGTGTCACTCAACTCAGGAGCTTGCGGCTTTTCCGTGTCAGCTGCGTTCAGCCACTCATCACTTCCTCTGGCTGGACCCCCTGGGGCTGCGCATCCTCGCCTTTTCCACAGTCACGCTCTGGACAGTTGAAAAGACAAAGCGGACCCTGAGGATCGGGAGATCAGCACAGAGGGGCCCAGTGCTCAGGCAATGCTCTGGATGTCTCCGTGTCTTTATCCCTAAAGTTCCTACAAAATTTGACTCTGATGTCATAACACAGCCATATTGGGGTTAATGTAAACATGACTCTTTCAATTATGTGCCTGCTAATTTACTCAGCCATATTCCCTAAACCCTCCCCCTCAAAAACGCACATCATTAAGAACCAACATTCCCCAAATCACGTTGGTCTCATGCCTTCATTACTCCCAGACACACAGGACAGGCTGTGTGCCTGGAGGTAGGCATGCCTCTGTTGGGGAAGCACAGCCTGCAGGTGGGCATGCCCAGCCTGGAGCAGGACTGAGAATGTTCCTTCACCACCGCATGCCATCCTAAGGAAGAGCAGGTTACATCCAAAGGAAAAACAGACTGGTCGGACTTACAGCTTCCTGGGTGGCTCCATTGTTGTGTGATACCTATCACTGTGGCCGCAATTGACAAGAAAACTCTCCAGCCCAAATCATAGAGGTGACTATTCATAAAAATGTGTACCATGAGCTCATCCCCGTAACCTTCCATCTTCCGCCACCTTAATAACCCACATTCCATAATAAGTAGCGCAGTCCTTGGTAAGAAGGGGAAAGAATGAGATTCAATGTCCGTCGTTGAAGGTGCGCTCACCTTGCCGTTGATAAGCCTGCATCTGCTGCACCCCCAGCTGGCATTTGCAAAGCTGACCCGTGTGCTCTGAAAGCGCTGGTAGTCAGGAGGCTGCTCCCAGTTAGATGTGTTCTCTAGTGAAATCCGATCTCAGATACCAGCTGGAATGCTGGGATTACAGCAATCCACCAAGTCCCCGCCACCCCCAAAGGCATTATCCGATAGGACACAGAGGTCAAACAGGGAGGGTAGGGAAGAAGGTAGACAAGTTGAAGGATAAATCTTTGTTCCTTGGAGCAATTTTGCTGTTGATATTTAAGGATGCTTTTTAAAAGCACACTCTCACAAAGGGTAGCAGGGAGGCAATAGAGAAAGCCATAACCCTTTACCCTGTAAGATTTCTTTTCACGTAGAAAGTGTGGGCCGTTCTGATTCCTTTCAGCAGTGCTCCCTTTAAACTGTTCTAAAGAAAGACCCGTCGTGCCCTGAGTCCTTCTCTCAATGAATTATTTGACAGCAACGGTGACACTCCCGATGGAGGCGCATCCACCCTAAATACACCCATAAATGGATGCATGCGTTTCTGAAATCACGCTGAGAAACAGTCTAGGGTGGCTGTTCCTCTTCTTCACGTAGAAAAGAAGGGATGTGAGGGCAGAGAGGAAGCGTAAAAGAAGCTGAAGAATGCTTAAAAAGCCGTGGCGTGCTTTCCCACGAAGAGAATCATCTCCAAAACCCTGCAGGTGCACTGCTGCCACTCCTCAGACATGGTCTCCACAGCTAACTGAGTGGTGCTGCCCCTGGGTGGCTCCAACCAGGACACTGAGCTCCCGGGACCACGGGCACTTCCACAGAGCTCTGTGGGTCTTAAAGGTTGCAAGGCTGCACTCCGGCACTGCGGCCCGGATTGCTTTGTAGACGCTGAGATCTCCCCTCGGCCTGCCAAAGGGAAGCACATTCATTTCAGGGACTGTGAGAGAGTCTTCTGCGAGGGTCTTTTATGACAAGGAAAAGAGGGTCCTAGGAGGACTTGCCTGGGGTTCTGCAGAGGGCCCCAAAGCAGGAAGGCAGACATCAAACCCCTCAGGGATGTTTGTGAAGTCAGAGGAGAAATGGGACGTTCCAGTCATGCCTCTCTCTCTGGAAGAGTAGGCTTGACATGCCCAGGGCAGCCTGGATTCCAGTAGGAACAGAAGCAGTAACACGCCCAGGGGGAGCGCTCAGCATCAGTAGAGAAAAACAGCCAAGGAGAGCCTGCCTCTCCGGGCCTGGCAGGGCTCAGAGGCCTCCAGCTGCCATCCCGCTGGGCACCATTAAAACGACCCCATGTGGACTATTAGTTTGTCTCCAAGTCCCACGTTTAAAGAAGGACATTTCTACGTGCCACTGGAGGCAGAAGAGTCCACACCCCCAGGGCAGACCTTGAAACCGAGTCACACAAGAACAACCGCCAGGCACTTGGGAAGTTAAATTCAGCTTGACACTCCCCAGAGGCTTCTTGGGACACCTGATGGATGCCTTAAGTTATTTTTCAAATGGTAGAAGGTGGGATGGATCCAAGTACCTGGGAGAGCAGAGCTAGCTCCATGTTTGGCTAAGGAGAAGGAAGACTTTTTGAAATAAGAGCTCCTTGGAGTGCCGTGCATAGCCTTGGGGAGTAGCGAGCCCTTTTGCCAGTGTGGACACGCCGAGGCCGGCGTGGGACCTGGGAGGAGAGGGGGCGTGTTTCTGAGGAGGGAGGCTACCCCAGCAGTAAAAACTGTGGGATTTGGTATCTGCTGACCCCAGGCTCAGGTTCCAGCTCCGTTTTTGTTTTTTTTTTTTTTGTAAGACCTTGAGAAATTGTTCTTGGGTCCTCAATTTCCTCATTTGTACAATGGGTACAACAGTCTCTACTCCAGTGGGTTATTATGCTAGTAAATGAAGCATACTTAATTAGCACCTGAACCCGGCACAGTAGAAATGACAAGTTTGTCCTTATCACTGCCACTGCTATTATCTGAGTTTAATGAATCGGGTGGGAAGAGCACGTATTTAATATCCTTTGGTTTCTTCAGTCCTCTAATTCTGCGATCGCTGTGGGTTCCACCCAAAGTTTCTGGTGCTGTTCTCCTAATACCCCGATGGCCCCGAGTTTTCTGTTTCAGAACCACTCGGATCTTCCCAGACAGTGGCCTATACCCTCAGCTTTCCCACAGCCACTCTCTTCCTGCAATCAGAAACAGTCTTTCCTGTACCCCCGGGTCCTGTGACCCTGCTTTCTACCGTGATAACTGGCTATTGTGTGGAGAGATGTATATTCGGAATACATGCTCATGTGACTGTATAGTCACCATCTGCTTTCCATTTCTCCCCCGGTAGGAAGCAAACCTGAACACAGTACCCAGTCAGCAGCCAGCAGTCAATCAAAACTCCCAATGATCCTAAGGATGGATCTTTCATGGGTGGGATTCTACGGATCATGCTTCGCTTTTCTAGAGAGATTCTGGTGGTGGTCGTTGGGGGCAAGGGATAATTCAGAGCAGCCTGGCAGCAGGCTGACTTGTCTAAGTATGGGTAGGGCCTTCCTCCTTTCACTCATGGATTTTCTGGAGAAGCTTAGGACTCACTCTGACCCTGTCTTTCCCCCACCCAAGGAAAGAACAGCGCTACGTGCAGAAACACTGGGAGGATGTGCGTGTGGGGGACTTCATCCAGATGCACTGCAATGAGATCGTCCCGGCCGACATACTGCTCCTCTTTTCCTCGGACCCCAGCGGCATCTGCCACCTGGAAACCGCCAACCTGGATGGAGAGACGAACCTCAAACAGAGGCGTGTGGTGAAGGGCTTCTCCCAGCAGGTAGGGCTTGTTCTAACATCTGCAAGGGTAAGGTCAGAGGGAAGAAGCACGCCAACTCCACCAGAAATCTGACCTTAATCTGGTGGGTGGAGGGGAAAGTGGTGGCTGCCTCCTTTCCCAACCACTTGGGTACAATCTTCCTGGCAGCCTCTGAAATGGGTGTCATCCCCTTATCTCACTGGAGGAAACGGAAGTCTGGGAAAGTTAAATAACTTGCTGAAAACCTCTGAGTTTCTAAATGAAGACCCAGCCTGTTCATCGGATGAAACTATGCTCTCCTCTCTAAACCCAGGAGTCTAGTATCTGTTCCCCTGGGGACCAACCCACTTTTCTGTGTTTAAGCCCTGCTCATCCTGCTCAGCTCAACTCCAACGACAATCTCTCCCTTCACAAATCTCCTCTGGTATTCCTTCAACCCCAGCACGAACGGCAATTAGTTGTCATTAACTGCTACCATTTGTGTGTATTTTACTTTCTCAAGAGGCTTCTCTGAAGCCTCTTTGAGGACAGAGAGCAATCATTGACACTTTTGTTGAATCCCCGCACATACATGCATGGGACCTTGGACATCGTGGGGAAGCCGTTACTGCTCGATGGTTTGGAGCCCGGAGCTGGGCTCAAAGCCCAGCCTCGCCATTTATTAGCCGTCTCACCTTAGGGAAGTTATTGTTCCCTCACGCCTTCATTCCCTCATGGGAAAATGGGTACAAAAGTAGTACCCCCTCCACAGGATAATTCTGAAGACTGACTGATACATGCATGAATTACCTAACATGCAGATAGACACAGAGTAAGAGACCAGTCAAGAGTCGGCAGTAAATGTCCACGGTGTCCATAGGCAATAAGCTGACTGATTGAAACTGGGTGTGACATTCTCATTTTCAATGAAAATTCCCCTTGAAGGAGTTGATTTCCAACCTGGCACCTTCCTCTGCCCATGGGAAACAACAGGCTTCATCCATTTTCTGCAGTCGGCCGGTCTTTGGTGGGGGAGGAATCAGACAGGTTGGGGGATCCAGGAGAAAGACAGCAGGTGATTCTCATGAGTTCAGTTGTCTCCACTGAATTCTCAAGAGGAGACCGTTCATCATACTTCACTCCGCCTCTCTCACAGTACTGCCTGAACAGTTCCCACAAAATCCCTTTTTGTGTGATTAATCCGGTCCGAGGAATGTCTGTTCTCTCGCCCTGACCATGGGAATGGTAAGAGCCATCCCATGGGTTTGCTGCGAGGTTCAAAGGAGATGAGGAAAGTCAGGAAGAAACTGCGGGGGTTGGTGCAGAGCAGGCACACGGTAAGCAGTCTGTCGCTGCTGCCTCAGCTGCCACTGCAGCCCTGGGAGCGGAACCCGCCGTGGCCACCTCACCTTCATCCTGGTGGGTGTGGTTATTGAGGCAGCCCAGTCTCCCGAGTGGTCTCCAGGCCCTACCTGAGCTGTCCACCGCACTGCGGCCTGGCGTCTGAGTTTTCTCTCCTTTGCTTGTCCTCACCACTTGGACCAAGTGCCTCCTGTGTTCACAAAAAGGCAGGACCAGGTCCGAGTGAGTTCACAAAGCCATTCCAGACATGCAGTGACGACCCGCCTCTGGGTGCAGGGCCCCGTGGCCTGTCCCCGAGAGCTGGGGCTTTCAGACCTTCTTAACCACACTTCACAACAAGAACTAGGCCATGCACACATACACACACGTGCATGTGTGAGCAGGCGTGTGAGTGTGTAACACTGCCTCCTTACTTAAACTACATGCAAAGCGTTCTGAGAGTTTCTATTCTATTTCATTTTTTTAACGTTCTGGGAACAGTGAACCTTGTATTTGCTTGTAAATCTCCCATCCGCCACCTCACCCCAATACCCTTATCACAGTTCTAAGTCCTTTTACTCTCTCTCTCCTTCTCTCTCCCTCTCTCTCCCCGCCCCCCCGGGGCAGTCGTTTCGGTGTTGTTGAGTTGCAAAAGTCAGTTGTTTTGTTTTGGTTTTCTTCCCTGTCTTTGGCAGCAGCTCCCACGCTGTCCCTTGTATATTAATTAGTCAGATAGTTTGGGATTCAGCCGGAGCGCAGAGCCAGATGAAGGGGTCAGTTACGCTCCAGCGCCAGAGACCAGCCGATTTAATAACATCGCTCCAACTCTAGCCCTGAATCCTCACAGGGTTCTCGGCGTAATGACTTCCAAAAAACAGTAAATCCATTTGTGAAGAGTGGAAGATTTATGTGAGCTTGAAGTTTTTCAGAGTTTCTCTTCTGTTTTCATTCTTGATTCTCCCCCCCTTACTTTTCTCAAGTGTGTTTTTTTCTATTTCTAGATAATAACAGTAATAATAATATGCTTTTATCAGTCCCTTTCTAAAGGCTTTGCATGATTACCTTATTTATCCTCTTAAAAACCCAAAGAGACGATTGCTGTTATTGTCCCCGTTATTCACATAAGGAAACAGGCATAGAAGGTCACTTGCCCAAGGTCACGGAGCCCGGAAGTGTTGGAACCAGGATTCAAAGCCATGTTCGTCCGGAATCTCAGTTCTTAAAGGTTGTCAGTCGCTCGTCTCCCTGGCCCGTTGTTACCTTGAGATTACCCAGAGATGCTTATTTGAAAGTACACATTTTTCATTTTCAGTATTCTTTCCACATGTAAGTAATAAGTGGCAGGAAGAATAAAGGTAGACTTAGCTACCTGGGGGAGAGGAGTTGTGCTGCCCTTTGCTACCTGGCTTCCCCTTTATGTCTTTAGTGCAGAAAGATTTCTGGATCTGGGTAGAATTCTCTTCTGGCTGACTCTAGACTACAGTAGTTCTCCAACGTGTGGAACAAAAACGTTGATGACAGTATGACAGCAGCAAGACAAATACCTGTTGCGGAGTCAGGTAAGGTCAGAAGGCAACAGGTCACAAGTTCACCAGTGCTGTGCCCCTCGGGACTTCTCAAGGAGCCCCAAGGAAGGGAGGGGGCAGCTGCCGGTGCAGCCTTCCTAAACACGTAGCCACAGAAACGTTCTGTTCCAGGATGACTGCAGTAGAGGCGAGATCACAGTTGAACCATTTGCCCCCAATCACATTACAGGTATTTATTTTTGCCAAGTACATGCCCCAGGTCTGGACACGCATATTTTTTAAGCGTTTCCCTGGATTACCTTGATGTGAACCTACTGCCACCTCCTTGAAAAGCCGGACAACAAAGGGAAGGTGCCTTTGTATTCAAGTACTTCCCCCAGACCCTGAAGAGCAGTGAGAACAAAACTACCACCTTTGTGCTTCTTGCCTGCATTGTCTGTTTCAGTCCTTGCAACCACCGTGGGAGGTGGGTGTTACCAGCCCCATTTTACAGGTGGAAATGCTGAGGCACGGAAAAGGCAAATTTCACCGATTGCCTCAGATTTTGAACACCTACAAATACAGATTGCTTAAAAATCTAATATCTTAAATAAGAAGTACTGACAGCTTTTGTTAGCTTGTTTTTCCTCTAAATCCCGACTGTCTGTGAGACTTTCACCTTGACGAAAGGGTTGTCACTAACCACAGGGATTTCTGGAAACCTCCCACCCCACACATATCCCCACGCCCATCTCACCCTGTCACAGATGATGAGAGGTGGCCACATCCTGTCAATGCGAAGTCAGTCAGACAAACCTTGTTCCAGCTCCCCTTGGCCTGGGTCTCAAGGCAGAGTCCGCCAAACCCTTAGCTCGAGCAACAGTTCTTGAAAGTTTGGAGTCAAGAGGCTGGCTAAACTCTCTAACTCAGAGCTTTCCAGACTTTTTTAACCTCCGAACCCTTTTTCAGCACAGTAATTTTTAGCATTCCTGAGGAAATTGGGGCAAAATGTTACACTGGACGGTAGAACACCCAGCATTGCAATGCGGGGGAGAGTGGCGGAGAAGTCAACAATCCTCGTAGCTTCGGCAGTTCACCCTTTTCTTTCCCATCGAGACTCAAAGGCAATTCTGAAACAGGAAAAGGCTTCTCAACAGACTCTTCCACCTGTGACAGAGCATCCGTCTCAGGGTTGCCAAAGAGTTCCTTTCAAAATCCTTTTCTCAGAATTCAACTTGGACCAAGCCAGTTTTTTCTTTTTTTCAGTCGGAATTTTTATTGTGATGGGCCATCTTTGAATTCACAAAAGTATTGACTTGCTCATGAAATATGTATTCCCATACCCCATTGCTGGGGAAAAAGGCGGGAAGAGAAGGAATCTCGAATTGGGATTATGCTGAGGGGACATCCCGAGAGAATTAAATTGTACAGTTTCTCTTCCACGGCATTCTGCTGCCTGAAAACCCTTCTTTAGAAGGATTTCCAAGATGGGCACTTGGCAGTTCACGCCTGAAAATGAGTGTGTGCCATTCATTTTGGGAAATGGAGCAGTTTCCAAACCAAAGACTCAGAAATTACTTCTTCTGATTCGTATCTCACATCCAGCACATTCCTGGTGTGAAAGAACAACACTCAGCCGAGTGGATCTGAAGATGTACCCATCCTGATGAAGTGATTCATGAATCAGGCAGCATCCCGTCTAGCAACTAGAAGGCTGCTCTGGGGAGTTGCAAAAATGGAAAGATTTTATGAGCAGAAGGCCGAGCAAGTGAGCTATCCACAAAAGAAAAGAAAGGATTATTTTTAGACTAGGACATATTTTAGAGGGAAAGGGATGATGCGGGTTTTTATAGTGCTGGTTGATTCTTCTGTTTACAGGGCCAGACGGGGAAGTGGCGGCGGGGGGTGGGGGGGGGGGAGGGTGGCAAGAACCCAGCATGACAGGTTACTTCATGGGTGTTGACCAGAAAATTTCGGACTAGTTGATTAAGGTTCCATGAGTGGGGAAAGGTTGGCATGGCCCTTACTTAGATCAGGCAGTAAATCTAAGTTTGGTGTCATGGGCTTTAGCACAAGGGATGCCATTTGGACCTGTGGGTTTTCTCTTTAACAACTATTACCTGTTACTCAAATTGCCAAAGCCCAGGTTGTACTGAAGCATGTGTCTGATGATTTCCTGCTACCAACCAAGAACTT